CGTAGAACATTTCTCATTTTGATTTTAAATATGCTATTCATTTTTCGCCACCACGCCAAGTTGTAAAGATATTTGAGTAAAATCGTTAGTATTTAGGTAAAATCCCTAATATTGTCAAAAAAAAATCTTGTTTTTTATAAGATTTTAATAAAATTTTTAATTTAGTTTACTGACAATCAATAAAATAAATATAAAGATTTTGTTGCTGGAACACCATTTTTTTTTTACCAAATGATACCAAATTATTCTAAATAAGTTGTGATGGTGGTGGTAGGAGCTAGGAGGGGACTTTGTTTAATGCGTCTGTTATCTTAAAAGTCTTTTTGTACAATACTCTTTACAGTTTACTATTGTTATAGAAGCCTGTTTAAAAAACAATTTTATAAAACTTGAAGTTATCTTAGTTTTGGTCTTTAATAACAATTAGAGTTTAAAAACTACACAATCTGTGAAACTAAACCTACAAAATGTTTTTACTAACGTTACTAACGTTACTAACGTATTAATGTTATTAACGTATTAATGTTACTAATTATCAATTATATACGGCCACAGTTTATAATAATAACTTTTAACAAATTCTTTTTCAATTGTTATACTCTTCACTTGAATCTAGAAGTGTAGAAATCAGGCAAATGCAATCTTGAAATATCTTGAAGAAACTTATAACAAGTTTGGTTGTCATTCAAACTGGATTTTAGATTGAGTGCTTTTTTACAAGGAATCTCATGCTTTTTGATAAAAAGAAATTTTATCAAAAAGTAGCGGTTTGTTTGAAAACAATTTTGCTAAAGATTAAGAGCTTTTTTGAGAGGAATTAAAAAGTTCTTGTTTGAAAAAAAACTTTTTTTTGTAGTATTCAAGAAAAAAAAAAAAAAAACTCATTATTATATGCCTTATTTATAAATGTTTTGTAAATAAACATTATGTTTTAAATATTGATAAGTTAGAACAATAAAGATGAAATAATGAATTAAACAATTGATTTACGGAACGTTGACTATAAGATAAACTTGAGCATATAAATAAAACACACTTAGGCGCAGGCATTAAGTTTAAGAACAAAAAATTTTTTCTAGAGTGCTTTTTTTTGTTCCCATCAAATACGGTTTTCCGTTTCCTTCTACATTAAAAATTACTTCCTAAGCTATGATCGAAAAATAAACAGTCAAAAATATTTTACTAGAATAACAAGTAATATTTTTTTTACTTTCTACATGTAACTGCAATATCCTACTTGCAACATGTTATTTAATGACTTTTTTAAAATAATGACATTTTGTTACTTAATGATTGTAACGGCCGGGGACGCCTAGAGTAAGGGGATGGGTGTATAAGCGAAAGAATTTTTTTTTTTATTAACTAACTGATAATATATAAAATTTAGAAAAATAAGGACGCAGATTTAACCCAGGCAGCGCAAAGGCTCTCAGCACCCCTGATAATGGCTATTTAAAATTTTAGAAAAAACTTTAAAAAAAATATTAAATAAAAATATTTAATTTTTTTTTGTCCTTTAACATAAATTTAGTTAACATGTAGTATATTTATTTTCTTTTTTTTATTTTCAAATATAAGCTTTATACAAGCTACTTATAAAAACTTTTTTTTAGTTTCCTATTAGAAAATATTTTGGTCGGAATATACACGTCGATTTTTGCATGAAACAATATTTTTTATAAAAATATATATATATATTTTTTATTGAATTATTTTTTATGAATAAAAATTTCCTTAATTGAATTTGAACTTTAATTGAATTAAAAATCTTTTTATAAATCCGGAAGTCAATGACATATATCCAATGACATATATAGCACATAAATCCTGAAGATCAATGACACATACAAGCGCATAAATCCTGGAGATCATTTGATTTTTCTCTTTTTTTCTTTTCTTGTAAGCTTCTTTACATAGAAACTTAAATATTGCTTTTAAATAAAATATTCCGGATTTAGATTTAAAGTAATATTTCGTCTTGATAGCTTTAAATAACCTTCATTATGCTGAAGCTCGCATTTTTGAAATTACTACTTCACATTTCATGTTTCTTTATTTTTCTAGAAGTTTGCTTATTTTATATAGACTAGAGAATCTGGTCAAAATATTGAGTTGTGATACCACTGATACTTTTGTAAAACAAGATAAATCTGCAAATCGAAAATTAAAGCATATTCTGAAGTCAACATCAAAGTAAATATTTAGAGTTTGCATCAAGTTATATTTTTTAAATTAACATCATAGTATATATTTTTTTCGTGAAGCAAGTCGGCAATCAAGTTAATAAAAAAGAAATGCTTAAACAGTTTCGAGTTGTTGTTTTTAAAATGAACTGTTATTCAGAAGTTACGAAATATTATATATTTCGTAATAATATATTACGAAAGTGAACAGTGTTATGCTTTACAAAATTTAAAAAAGGCTTATCACAGAGCACATAGCATACTGTTATAAAAATAGATTTAAATGGGCAGTTTTACTTTTTTTTTTCTTCATTACTTCCTCATATCATATATAAACTCCAAACTGATCTAATCATTGCTACAATTTAGTTAAACCAATCAGATTTTTTCTTATATTTAGTTAAACCAATCAGATTTTTTCTTCAGAAGTTTTATAGCAACTATCTATTATTATAGATATTTTATAAAATAAACCAATATTATTTTAGCAACAAAAGTTATACCATGTAGAGTTTATAACCTCCTCATTTTGGAGAAGGCGAAAACTTCATATGGTTTTAAATCATTTTAACAAAATTTAAAATATCAGTCAGTATAAATTTAGTTTCGAGTAGTAAATGTAATTCAGTAACTTATTGCCTTCACATTTGGGGTAGGGTACAAGTCTTGGGGTTTATTTGTTTCCAGATTCCAATCACTGCGATATTTTGGAAAAGCATCCAAGGGGTCGTCCATAAAGTACGTACGCCAAAAATTTTGAAATCTGACCCCCCTCTCTTCCCCCTGTTACCATGCGTACTTCTATGCGTTCCTCCCCCCCCCTCCTAAAAAAGTGCATACGTTTTTGAAATCCTTATTTCCTCGGATTATGTGGCGCAGTGGTTACAGCGCTTGCTTTATAAGCATCAAGGTTCGAAACGAGCTCTGCACATATTTTCGTGTCACGGTAAGGAAGGAGGCGTTAACTTCATGGTTAAATGCACTTCCGCGGTGTTCTGTGACAAGACCTTTAGGTCTTCTTGGGGCACCTAAATAACAAAAGTAATAAATAAAAAAATCCCCCCCCCTCTCAAAAAAAAAAAAAAAAATTTTCAATAAAAAGGTTTATGAAAAAAAAAAAAAAAAAAAAAAGAGGGAGGAGGTACCTTATACGACTCGTTTGCGGCACAGGATCCGAATTTAAAAATATATATGCAAATATTAACTTTAATACAGTTAAAATACACATTGCCAAAGTGGCCGCTTCGTTGAGCGGTTAGTGCTGTGGACCAAAGCGTCGTAGATCGGTGTTCGATCCCCTGTCGAGTACTTTTTTCATTTACTGTACTTTTTTCATTTTAATGACGAATCAAATAAAAATAAATTATACTTAAAGCGGACGTTTTTTTCGAGTCTTATGTTCGATCAGTTAAGTCCGAGTCCTACGCGAGATCAGTAACACCGAAAACAAAGCCTAAAACCTAGTGCCGAGGATAGACAACTCGTACCCCTTAATTTGAGGGGGGAGGGGGAAGATAGCAAAAAATTTTGTGTCCTTTTGTTAATTTAAGAAGTTTTTTATTTTAGCAAAACCTAGCAGTAAAATTTGGGAGATTTTGAGACCCAAATGACACGTTTTTTTGGGGGGGCCTCCAACCCATTAGCCACGGCACTGCTGAAACTTGTTTTTTGTCGACTCAAAAATAGATTGCCTGAAATGCGCTTTACTCAGCACCAGTATATAAGGAGTGGTATGTGAACATGGGCGTCCGCAGGATTTTTTCATGTTCTAGATAGAACACTTTCACTCATTTGGCATAGGTATACTTAAGTTTAAGTTCCAATCATAAGTATGCCTATGCCAAATGTGTGAAATTTGTGCAAGATCTAAAACTTAAGTATAACTATGCCAAATAAGGAGGCCTTGCAAAAAATTGGGATGGCGGAGGCCTGGGAACGAAACAGCCCTAAAATGCTTGCTCCCCCTGCCCAAGCGTGAGTGCACTAATGTAGTAAAATTTCAACTTTACTATCTAAAACTAAATTTAAATTTATCAACAGATTTTAAATTTCGTAGAAAAATATTGTAAATTACAAAGGTTATGACCATATAAAATTTACACCCCCTTTTTTTAAGCAAGTACAATTGTTGTATCTGTATCATTTTAAAAGGTTTCAGTATATTCTTATGAATACTTAAAAATTGTGTTAGTACAAGTCAGTATGTGAGCGGAGTATATAAGCGGAGAAGAATATGTGAGCGGTAAAAATTTGCGCTCCAGGTTAAAAGCAAAAAAAACCATGTATTATAAAGTGGAGCATTTTGGAGCAAGGGAAAATCATAACGCTCTGACCTTTTGAAAATTTGCTCTTCGCATTAATTCACAACTCCACTCCAACTCCACACCGCTCACATACACGTGTACACGTGTTGTATATCAAGATATTTATGAAAAAAATTATTATTTTGTTAATTTGGTTTTTAACACCGATCATTTTATGAAATGTGTAAAAATTTTACAGTTATAAAATAAAAAATAGCAAAATATAAAGAAAAGTAATAATTAACGAAAAAAAAAACAGTTTCTACGGTGTGACCACGGTTATATATATAAAGTATATATATACTTTATATATATAAAGTATATATATAAAGTATATATGATCCTTATAGCTAAAATATTTGAAATATTGTCAATAGGTATTCTCCTTCGACGTGTTTCTTTTTTTTTTTAATAACTGTTATTTCAATAAAAAAACAAACACGACAAAGGAGAATGCCTAATGATAATTTTTTAATTATTTTAGTTATATGGATCATGTTACTTTATCAAGACATAAATTTATCACGGTTGACTCGTTTTCAACGAATCGGTGACATTTTTTTATTTGACATATTTGTTCAATAAATAATTGAATTAGATCAATTTCGCTAGCTAATAACTGGTTGATGTATTTTTAAAATTATTACTATCATAGTAAACAAAAAATATATTTCTTTTGTATATAAAAATGTCGGATAGAGAAAACGAAGTTTTAAACTTTTATAAGGAATGGAAAAATGAAGTTTTAGAAGATCTGAGGGATGAATTAGTTAAGGATCTTTTTCCGCATAAGCATTTCTCTTTTTTACGAGTTCAGAAAATATTCGACGAAGAAGACGAAGAGGAGATAAAGTACGAAAAGACTAGAAAACAACAAGCTGAATGCTTTATAAATAAAATATCTAAAAAAGGACCTGCTGCATTTGATAATTTTTGCGAGTCTTTGCTAAATACTGCAGGATCTCAGCATCTTTTAGAGAAGCTACTGGAAGCCTTTGAGAAAAAAACACAACAGATAAACGAACAGGGTCATATAAGAAACTCATTTTATAGATATAAAATAGATTATATTCCAGAGCCAGGACAAATTGGTGGCCCACCTTTACCAAACGAGACAAATCTTGAACCACCACCACCGTATTATGAATAATAGTATTGTATACAATTTCTATAATTTCATAAATGAATATGATTAAAAGTAAATATAGAAATATAGTATGATGAGTTTAAAACGAAAACGTCACAAAAGCTATTTGAATAAATAAATTTTTTTTCTAAACAAAGAATGCACTGTTAGCTAAAACTTTAACATGTTTTAGTTAACAGTGCATAACGAATTAGTGGTTTGTTATTAACTTAACATATTTTGATTAACTGTTTTTGTTGAAATAATAAATGGTTAATTACAGCTGGTTATAAATTGCAATAAAGAATTTATAATCTGAGTATTATTTATAAAATAGTCACCTTTAGTTTTTTGCAACATCAAATGAAAAAATTACTGTTTTAGTTAGACCTCGAAAAAGGATAAATAATTTAAAATATTTGCCGTGTCATGGTAATTTTTTAAAAATGATTGAGAACACCAAAAAGAAGAAAAAACAAAAAAATAACTAGTTATTATAATGTTTGTGACGAATTAGTATTAGAACTTTGAAGATCTTGTTTTTACATATTTTCATTGAGTAACATGAAAAAAACTTTTTTATTCTTTCAACCAGTTCAGGTTTACATACTTTTACCAAGTAAAACAAAATTTATTTTTATTCTCTCAACCAGTTCGGGTTTAAAATCAAACACAGATTATTGTGAATTTTATCTAATTGCTATATACAAATTTGTGAAGATTTCATAAATCTAAAAGACAAGACTTTGCCAGATGTTTAAATTTTTCTAATTAGAAAAGCAAACCAGCTTGTTGAGTGCTGTTAATATGCGAGGAGCATATTAACAACACAAATGATGATAATGATGATGATGATGATGATGATGAAGACGATGATAATGATAAGCACAAAAAAGCAAAACTAAATGCAAGAACAATTTTCGAAATAACTCGCAACTCATCTAGAGTCGGATGCAGCATTTTTTGGTGTTTGAGATTAACTTTGCTAACTTTCAAACATAAAGCAAACTCCAAACATTTATATATTATTATTATTATTATTATTATTATTGTTATTATTATTATTATTATTATTATTATTATGGTTATGTCAAATAAGGATGCTTTTCAAAAATTTGCAATGACTGTAGGGTGGAACAAAAAAGCCCCAAAATTTGCGACGTCTCTGCCTCAAATGTGAGAACAAAAATTTGATAAAATTTACTTTTTAACTAAATTAATATCGATAAACTTTTTAAAACAATCTTCGTTCAAAAACTATGACCACAAAAAACTTGTAAGACCCTAAAATTGAGGGGGGTTCAACTTTATATCTCAAACACTAAAAAATGCTGGATTTGCTCTGTCTTCCTTTTTGCATACAGTTTTTGTTAAATAATTCACGTATATTGTAATTAACAAAAAAATTAAGTTTTTCTATGCTTATCACACATCTTAGAAGCAGACCACAGAAACTTTAAAAGTTTATATGGCATGAAGATTAACAATAAAATATCAAGAAGACCCACCATACATTTTATTACCCCTTTTTTTTTAGCTCAGCATAATGCTTCTATTTTGAAACATTATGTCTTATTACGAAATTCTAGATCCACCACTGTTCCCAGTTTGTCAAACGCCTATAATGAGAAACGTTTTTAATCGAAATTTATCACTAATAATTTCTATCAACATAAACACCACAGACATGCGCAATGCGCAAACATCACGTAAAGTTGTTATTAACATTGATAAAAATAAAAAATAACTTTTATTATTATTATAAAAAAATAATAAAAGATAATGACAAACTATTATCTATAAAGAATAATACAACGTGTAAAAAATGTAAATTATGAAAATAATATTAATAAACGCTTATGTAAACTAAAATCGCTTAAAAACTAATTACATACCAGGTTCCACAAAAAGATTGCTTTTTGCGATCACCTCACCGTATTGGTTAGATGCGACACATTCATATTGACCCTCATCAGCTAAGTCTGTTGCTGGGATATGTAACTCACGATCACGCACCACGCTAGAGGTTGGTAAATTTCCATTTTTTTTCCTCCAAATTAATTTTAAAACAATCCCAGAATAGCTGCATAAAAATAAAACTGTTGTTCCTGATTGAACACGAAACTCACTTGGAATTATGTTGACGATTGGTAAACTATTTGGTCCTGAAAACAACACAATCAGAATCAAAAATTTTAGAAATGACGATGGTGCCCTTCCATTTCGAAACCCGTGTCGTCGGCCATTAGAATATCAATTTTTCAGACAATTTTATTAAAGACATTTCAGACATATTATAACAAACTGTTATACACAAACACATACACACACATATACGTATAAATATATATACATATATATATATATACATATATATACATATATGTGTTTATATATATATATATATATATATATATATATATATATATATATATATATATATATATATATATATATATATATATATATATATATATATATATATATATATATATATAATATGTACATAAAATAGCACAATTCTCGCATTAGGTTTAGTTGATTTCATCAACTAAACCTAATGCGAGACAGTAGTACTTTTTTGTTTATTCTATTTCCCCCTCACAAACATTGTTTTCAAATTATACGTTTTTCTACTATAGTATATACATTTTCATACTATAGCATGCATACCTCTGACGTAGAGAACAGATCGGGAGGAAACTGTGCCTCCTTGATTACTTGCAGTACAAAAATACTGTCCTTCGTCGTCCACTTGTACATTTTTTATTTGTAAAAGAGATTCTTCTATAATCACATTTCCAGACATAGATTTTCCAGTCTCACGCTCCCAAGAAATAGTTGGTGTTGGGTACCCGGAAAAAGAGCAGCGAAATTGTACATCTTCGTTTATATTTGAAACCACTTCATTAGGATAAATCGCAACTTTTGGCGGAATAGAAACTAAAAATTAATAATCTTGATTTAAATAGTTTTTTTTAATACAAAATTAAAAATAAATTTTTTATAATACATGGTACAAAACAACTATTCTAAAAAAATAAAAAAACAATACACAGAGTTAAAACCATAGTAGTAGATATTCACTAACAGGGAGTAAAACAACACGCATTTGTTGGCCATTCACATAGTAATTCTGCTTTTAGTTTAAATGGCGCTTATCCGTTAAAGCAAGTTCTCAACTTTTGTAGTATTAAGAATGATGTAAAACACATTTTATTATAATAAAAACTTCATTACAAAAGGAGAAAGCTTATTTCTTACCAAACCTCTGATAAGCCACCATTTCTGACTATTTAACCGCTAATGTCGTATTCAAGTAAAACTGTATAAACATATCTTACATATAAACATATCTTACATATAATTAAAATATCATTTAAAAATAAAAAATTCATCATATTTAAGTTTAACCTCCTACTCTCAGCTGCACACTGACTTGGTCGTAACTATATTGATTAGATACTCTACATGAATAAAGTCCCGAATGACCTTGATTTACATTTGATATAGTAAAAATACCATTTTTTACCAGGGCTTCGGCTGGTAGTTTTTCGAAATCTTCGCGACTCCACGTTATAGTAGTTGTTAAATCGCTATCGTGATTGCAAATAAATCGGGCAACGCCTCCTTGCTCAATATAAAGAGATTTCGGCACAACACTTACACGAATCGGCAGTAGACGATGGGCTACAATAAATCGAAAAGAACAATTAACAAAATTTAAAACCTGCAAAAAGTAAGGTAAGCGCATTTAAAATACGTTTTATGTTTACTCACACACAACATTAAGAACTGCCCTTGCAGAACTCAAACCATAATCATTTCTGGCAGAGCATATATAAGTTTGTTCATCTAGATGATCAATTTTCGTTATAGTCAGTGTTTTAGATGTAGGTGTTGAAGCAAATTTGACATTGGATGCAAAAGGTCTGCCGTCTATACGAGACCATTGTATCATAAGTGGTTGCTCTCCTGTCGCACTACAATGAAAAGTTGAGATTGTACCTAAGCGATCTTTCCTAATTTCAGGGGTAATTTTAACAGATGGTTCAGACGTGTCTAAATATAGATAAAAAACAAAACAAAACCTTTATATAACAAAACTAAATCTTGATGTGTGTGTGTGTGTGTTTATATATATATATATATATATATATATATATATATATATATATATATATATATATATATATATATATATATATATATATATATATATATATATATATATATATATACAGGGCAGGCTTGTGGCATAGGCAAACTGGGCATTTGCATATTTAACATATTTAATCAAGACAACAATATTTTAACCTTATTAAGTTAATAGCTCAAGCCAATAAGAATGAAATAAAAAAAAGTCGTAAGTAAAAATAAAAAATGTGTTGTGAAAGATTTAAATTTTTTGTTCATGTAATGCTGTTCACAATTCTTCACATTTAACAGGATAATAATGTAAAATATTTTTCACGGAGATAGTAGAATAGTTTTATTTTGAAAGGAAACTGATTTTGTCAATTGTTATTCTATTTTATTTATTTTAGGAAAGTCCATGGATTGATCAAAGTTATCTGGCAGTGAAAACCGTAAAAAAAAAGCAGAAAAAGAGCAGTGACCGTATTCTCATCTCTCTGTTAAGCTTAACAGAGCGTTTGTCAAAAAGTTGTTTTTAACTACATTAATTTAAAAAATTCTTAAAAAATATAAATTTTTAAATAAAACTGTTTTATTTTAGTATTAGTTTTAGTTAAACAAATTTGGATAAAGTTTTTGTCATTTCATTACATAAAGATGTTGTAATAAAATTTTTGACAAACGCTCCGTTAAGTTTAACGGAGAGATGAGAATACGGCTGCAGGCCAACAAAAGTTAACAAGGGTCACTTCTGAATTTTCTGAAACCACTTTTGGGGGGTGGATGTCGCCCCCTCTTCTGGAGGGGGAGGTCGCCAGAAATATATACAGGGCCGGCCCTGTATATATATATATATATATATATATATATATATATATATATATATATACATATATATATAAGTTTTTTTTAAATAATAATAAAATATGACATTAAAACTAAATATGTCAAAACTGTTGTCTAATTTAGTGTTCTTTATTTAATAATAGTCATTATTAGATATATTTAGTAATGGTCATTACTAAATATAGGTCAAATGGTCATCATTATTATTGTTGTCTAATTTAATACAAGGTTCTTTTCTTGAAATCAAAACTACGTAGATAACATTTTCTGTGAATTAAAATAACAGATTATTCGACTCTCTGTTTGAAGTTAAAAAAAATGTTTTACAATTATTTATAATTTCAAATCATCAACTTTTTATTGACAATTAAAAACTTTTAATTTTGAAAATTTCGAACTATAAAATTGCAATAATTGTTAGTGATTATTGTTAAAGCCGAGAACAAATTTCATTAATAATATTAATGAAATTTGTTCTGGATTTAATTATAACAAAACCAATAATAAAGATGGCAGAACTTGTCAATCTTCCGCCCTAAAACAACATATAGTATCACAAACCTCTTTTTAAAAGTAATTTATAAAATACAAAATTTTAATAATCACTTAAAAGGGCAAGAAGACTGAATAGAAAAACTAAAATTTCATGCAAGCAATGAATCATTATGATAAAACAAACACACTGACAAAGTATTATTGCTTTATGACTGGCAATTTTGCGATAACTCTGGGTTTTTAAAACGTTCATCGTTTTGCCCCGTCTTCCCCTAAATTTAAATGATATCCAATGCTGATTGGATACCATTTCATTAATACAATAACTAAACCAACAAAATCAAATAATAAAATCAATCTCATTAATACAATAACTAAAGAAACGTTGCTTAAATTTGATTTTGAATAATTATGTTTAAATACTACGATTACCAGCATAAAATTTGTGAGAATGAAAATTGTCAAAATATTGTATAATTTTCTCGCTCGTATTTTTATGTGATTTCAGAGTATGTGCCATAAAAAATCTAGACGTTTTTGCACAAAAGAAAAATGTTGTGTATTTTTGTGTTCTTTAATAGTCAGACAATCCAAAATTCTGCATATATGAATGACAAATTTTTTATTCAGAAACCATCTTACAGATTTTGACGTTTTGAAACCTAACAAACAATTGAGCCTATGAGAGTAAAAGTGGACCAAGTCCAATTTTTTTCAAATGACCCTTATGTATGTAAAACTGCTAAAAATTTGCTATATTTTTAGAGCAAAAATGGACCAAGTCCATAACACATTTATTTCTTATTGAACAGAGGGCAGCACATTTTTACTCTAACAATAAATCACCAGGTATAGAGAGTAATAGTGGACCAAGTCCATTGATAGTGCATTAATGTAAGAAATCAAGATTCAAGACCACATAAACTACAAATTTTCTTAGAATTATTATTATTATATTAGAACAAGAATAACATTTGTACAGGTAAGATGCTTTAAATGAATATCTGATTATGGTTTTATATTAATATAGTGAAGTATACAGCACTTTCACACTTTATAAAGTGACAAAACTGAAATAGTTTGGTGATCGATAATATAAGATTTATTCAATTGCTCTCAGCAGGAATATAAATATTGATTTGTTAGACAGTAGATATAATGGTCTGTCACTACCAAAGTTACAGCCTCTTTAGAAAGGTCAATTTTGTGGCTTTAATAACATCTAGCTAGGGGAGCACTTGCATGCATGTTGTGTACATGTACATTATTCTTTCTAATAATATTCTGAATGTATGTAATATTTAAAAAATATTTATTGTAGAAGAGTGTAAACATGCATTCACGAGCCGCACACATGGTGTCACTGGCATTGATAAAGTGCAAGAAAGTTCAGAGATCTCTAGCTACAGATACAACAATTGCAGATCCTAACTTAGCAGCAGAAACACAGACAGAACGTTCTACATTAGCAGCTGAATCTCCGATTGTAGCCGATAATTCACCGGTTGTAGCAGTTGAATCTCCGATTGTAACAACTGAATCTCTGATTGTAACAACTGAATCTCCGATTGTAACCGATCAACGCCCTCGAAAACGAAAACGTTGTGTAACGAACTGGAAGAAAAATGTGATTAAGCGCTTACGAAATACAGGTAGCGAATATGTAAAGCATGGCGGAACGTTACAAAAAGCTAAGAAATTAAACGAACATTATTTAATAAATCACAGTTGCAAAAGCAAATGTGCTGAAAATTTGACTTTAGAGCAGACTAAAACTCTGTTTGAAAATTTCTGGAAATTGGGAGATTTTGATGCACAAAATCTGTTTCTTGCTGGCTGCGTGAAACAATCAACAGTAGAACGTAGACGACCAAGAGTAAGAAAAAACAAAATTACAAAAAATGAAAAAAAACATGCAAAGGATTTTGCACGAGTATACTCTGTGTTTGCAAATAATAAGCCCGTTACTGTTAGCAAACCATACTTCTTGGTGATATTTGACATTAGCAGCGGTCGACTAAATCGTGCGTTAGTCAACCAACGGGAGAACGGTGGTGTGTCAGGCAAAGATGGACGAAGAAAATATGATCACAAGACACAACGCATTCATGAGGAACACATCACTCGCATTAAAGATCATATTCGCATGTTTTCCACATACGAAAGTCACTATACTAGAAGTCACAGTGCATCTCGCCGCTTTCTACCTGATCATTTGACGGTATCAACTATGTACGACATGTATAGAGAAAAATGCATACAGGATTCAGTCGAACCCCAAAAAGAGTGGAAATTTCGGGACATTTTTAATCATAAATTTAACTTGACGTTCCATCAGCCACTAAAAGATACGTGCAAGAAATGTGACACTTTTAAAACAGACATTAAAATAGAAAAAACTGATCACAAAAAATCTCAACTAAAAGCAGCGCATGAGATTCATTTGCGCAAAGCAGAGAATGCGCGTCAATCCTTAAAACTAGAAAAGGAAAATGAAGACAATAAACATGCATCTTTTTGTTTTGACCTGCAAAAGGTCATGTCATTGCCTTGCCTTACAACCAATGAAGTTTATTATTGCCGGCAATTATCAGTGTATAATCTAGGCATTCATGACCTTAAAAATGACAATGCAGTGATGAATGTATGGCATAAGGGAACAGCCTCACGAGGTGCAGATGAGATCGGTTCATGCTTATTGGCATATTGTCAAAATCTGGCAAATAGGGATATTACGTCTATTACAGCATTCAGCGACTTGTGCGGCGGCCAAAATCGAAATATAAAAATTGCACTGTTATGAATGCATTTGACGCAGACGACGAGTATTAAACTGGTGAATCATAAGTTTATGGTCTCTGGGCATTCTTATTTGCCTAACGATGCAGATTTTGGAATAATTGAGAGAGCAAAACCAAAATCCACAGAGATCTTCGTGCCAGAACAGTGGTACAAATTGATCGAGAACTGCTCTATGAAGAAGCGCTTCAGTGTTGCAAGATTAAGCACTGATAATTTCAAGAGTGTGGAGCCCTTATTGAAATTAATTACAAATTGGAAAGTGGATGAGAGTGATCAGAAGGTCAACTGGCTGGATATGCAATGGCTGCAACTTAGAAAGAACGAGCCATACGAACTGTTCTTTAAATACTTTTTAGATGATGACGCATCATTCAGTTTCATTTCGCTAGCGAAACGCGTACGTCAAACGAATCTTATTGAAGTGAGTTTGACTCCACTGTACTGTGGAGCAACAAAACTGAGCAAAGAAAAATACTCAGATTTAATGAAACTGTTAAAGTTCCTCCCATCCATGACTTCTATCAAAAGTATGTTCCTCCCATCTATCATGACTTCTATCAAAAGTATATTCCTCCCATCTATCATGACTTCTATCAAAAGTATATTCCTCCCATCTATCATGACTTCTATCAAAAGTATATTCCTCCCATCTATCATGACTTCTATCAAAAGTATATTCCTCCCATCTATCATGACTTCTATCAAAAGTATATTCCTCCCATCTATCATGACTTCTATCAAAAGTATATTCCTCCCATCTATCATGACTTCTATCAAAAGTATATTCCTCCCATCTATCATGACTTCTATCAAAAGTATATTCCTCCCATCTATCATGACTTCTATCAAAAGTATATTCCTCCCATCTATCATGACTTCTATCAAAAGTTGGAACACAGCGGTCACAACAAGGATGTACTAGAAGATGAACTGCTTGATGACAGCGGCGATGATGATCAGTAAATTCGTGTGGTTTTTATTGTACTGTTTGTAATAATGAGGACTCTTTTTGCCGATAATTATTAAATAGTAATTGTGTTTTTGTACAACATAGTATGAATTTGTACTACTTGTCTTAATTTGAATTGCTATTGTAAAAGAATAATATGAAATTTGTTCATGATTTTACACTAAAATGATTTAGCGATTTGTTGATTATGTTTAGAGAAAAAATGGACCAAGTCCATAACTATTATTATATTATTAATAATTATTCAAAAATTTATTTGTGCATTTCACATATCTTGTTGTCTAAGAAAAAAGATTTAAAATGATACTAGACATCAATAATATTACATATGGCTGATTTATAATATATGCAAACACTAAGAACGCTTATTTCTAACAATATAGAAATATGGACTTGGTCCACTTTTACTCCTATGGGCTCAATTGGCTAACTGATTTTATATAGTTTAGAAATATTTCTAGGTCATAAGCCGAGATCTTATAAGTAAATACGTAAAATCTGTTCACGGTTTATTCGTTTTTCATGACATCTATCTCAATAATTAAATTTCTGGAAATTTTTTTTGTGTAAGTAATAGAAGTGTTTTGTTTGTACTTAATAAGTTAATTTTTATGTATTAGTAAAATATTTTTTAAATTTAAAGCTCTAAAAGTGACCTGGACAAAACTTGGAAAATTCAGAGTTTGGTATCATTAGAAGATTTGGTAAAAAGACAGTGTATATATTTTTTTGTAGCTTAGGTGTTGTCAAAATTGACAAGGTTTAGGATGATGCTACTGATGTCACCTGATCTTTTGCATCTCTAAATTTAAGTGTATCACTTTTGAACCTCTACCATAAATATTATTAAAGTTTCAGGGGTTTACGCAAGTTGTAGCTTTAAAATTGTTTAGAAAAGTTACCTCGCTATTTACTTTTTATTTAAATACAAACACGCTTATAAAATAATTTTTATAAAAAAATCTTGTTTAGGAGCAACTGATGCAACTATTTACAGTTTTTATTGGTTAAAAAAAATGATCAGATGGTTTGGATGATGACAGTTGTTTACTTAATCTTTAATGATTGGTTAAAATTTTTTTTTACTTTTACCAACAATTTAGAAAGATATTAAAATATATAAAGATAAAACATTTATATCCATATATTTAAAATATTTTATATTGGTTAACAGATTGTAGGATCTAAAATCTGTTAACCAATCTAAAATGATGTAGTTTTTTTTACTATTTACAATGTAGATAATAAAAAAAACTACATCATTTGCTTGAAAAAATAAATTTTAAGAAAAATTTTTCAAATGCTGGGTTAAAATTAAAATTTTAAGACAATATTTAAACGTATTTAAAGCAACCACCCCACAATATAATGAAAAACCTTTAGCATATTTTTAAAGTTGAAAACCAAATTTCTGTCAAATTGTATATCTCAATAAATTATTATTTATTAAAATATACTAAATCTAAAACATAACAATAAAAAATAAGTAAATTTAACATTACTTGTTGCGTCTTAAGTAATGCTATATAATTCCCTTGAGTAACGCTCTTTTAATTTTAACACTCTTTAAGTTGCTCTTCTATTATTACCCTATTCTCTGGAACAGAAGACATTTTAACTCTCCTTTGGCTAGAGGGAAGCCTTGTTTTAAAAAGAATTATGGATCACTCTTGCAACATGCTAGATAATCCGTTAGTAAATTTTATATTGAAAACTTAATTTAAAAAACCTTAATCTCAACTAAGCTGACAAATAAAAAAATCTTAATTGATTTGATTGGTTGATAGATTTGATTGATTGATAGAGTTGATTGGTTGGTGGATTTGATTGATTCTTTTATATAAAATTTAATGACGAAAAAAAAATAACAACAATTATTTAAAAACTCTATTGACTTACAACGTACTGCAGATTTTTTGCAAGTACCACCTGGTGTAAGAGGATTACCAGTATAGCCAACAGCGCACCTTTTAAAAATAATAACATTTGTACTAATGTAATATAATAAACAAAGAAAAGTCGTGAATTTTCAAACAAATAATTTAATTTAAATTGAAATTTTCATTTAAATTAAAGTAAACAATTATATAGTAAAACACATACTCTCCGCAATAGCGCCCTGAATATCCAGTCTTGCACGTATCACAAACAAATCCTCCTTCCTTCATAGCAGTGCAAGATTTGCTAAACCTATTTGCAAAAATTGGAAATTTTCCATAATTAACGAACCGTAATAATATCTTAATTTTTTTTTTTAAATCTATTAATTGTTTTAACCAACATTTACTTTTTTTTATCACTATTTACTTTTTTAGCTATATTTCTTTTTTTTTTTCTCTTCAAAATCTTAAATATATACTATAGATATTTGTTATATTTGTAAATATTATTTATATTTATCAATATTTATCAGTAAATATAACTAAAATGTAACTAATTAACTGATTAGTTGATATGCTGAGAGGACAAAAACATGGCTTGCATTCTCCTCCATTGGATGAATCACTAAAAAAACCAAGCTTGCACTCATTGCATTTTTCACCTTTAGTATTATTTTTGCAACCAGTACATATTCCTGTAACATCATCACAGTATTCAGAATGACCATTGCACTGACATTTTTTACATCTTAATTCGCCATTAGGAGTTATGAAACGAAAAAAGCCGGTTGCACAACGCTAGAAGAAAAAGAGAATTTAAAAATAAATACAGTATGTAATAACAATGACAATAACAATAATAATAATAATAATAATAGATTTTATTAACTCACCTTAAGTATATTAACAAATAATTTACTAGATAAAAATAGAATAGAGTTTTTAGAGAAAAATAGAAAGAAAAATAAAAAAATAGAAGCTTTTTTTATTACAGGAAGAAAAAAAATACTCAAAAAAAAAAACGTTCAAAATTGTTTAAAAGCTCTTAACTAAAAATAAATACAAGGTTTAAAACTTTATAGAAATATTTCAAAAGTACAAATATTTTTGATAGAACAAATTCTTTATAATAAATATATTACAAATATTTTTACAGATATTATTAACATTTTTGAAGAACTTAAATATCAAAATAATTACAACTTCATTTTTTGTCAAGTTTTATCGAAGGAGTAGTTTGTTTAAATTACAAAATTCTTCAACAGTGGAGTTCGACAGTGGTGCCACTTTTTCAAAATATCCCCTTTGGCCTCTACTTTATTTCACCTGAAACATCTTTAAATACTTATTTACACTCTATATGTTCCACTTTGATCCAATCATTTGAAACTAAAGCTCTACACTTTTGTCTTTTAACTCAAGTTAATTTTTCTCATTTGAAACAAAAAAATACTATTATAATAACTAAAAATGTTTCTTTGGTCTAAAAACTTCTTTTTCAATACTTTACATTCTAAGGATTTTTTTATACAGATATAAGCAATTAATATTGCATTAATTAATTAATTGCAATGCATTGCAATTAAAAGCAATGCATTGCAGTTCTAAACATACTATGTTGTAGCGATACTATATGCAGTTGTCTATTGTTACAGTTTATACATAAAGCTTGTAGGACTTATATAACAACATCCACGATTATCTTTTTAAGTAAAATATATTCAAGTACAAAAAATCATTTTCAAGAAAGTTAAAAAAAAAATACAAAAAATATTACCTGACATGAAGTGCCACTATATCCAATTGGACATTCACAAACTTCTATGCTTTTCACAGAGTCATCAGACTTATTAGATGTAGGCCAAGATAATGATACATTTCTTAATCTAATAAAAATGTGTTAAGAACAATTGTCAATTGTATCTCTATAGAAATAAGATTCTGTTCACGTGCTAGATTCAATCAAAACAGTAAATCCTTTAGAATTCAGTTTGCAAACTTACATCTGCATTTTTTAATCAAATCTTTTAACAAAGTAAATATTTAGGAATGATTTACAATTGTAAATAAACTTGTTCAGGTTTAAATTTAAGTTTATTAAAAAATTACTCAAAAAAAAAAAAAAAATATGTTTAAAAGTTAAAAATTTTAAATGTTTATGTTAAAAATATCTTACAATGTACTTTTTATTCTTGTGTTATAAGTAGCACGAATCAAAAAACTGCTAATATTTGAGAGAACAAACAAAAATTCTTCTCTGGAGACTAATCCTCCTGATAACTTTGTCCATTTCTCCTAAAATCAAAATTCTATTATTTTATTAAAATGCTTCCAGACTTGTACAAATAAATCAGAACACTGTAAATATTGTAATACAAAAAATAGCATATAAATGTAAAAACAAAGGAAACATGATTACAAAAAAAAAGACATCCAAAGGAAAAAAAGGAATTAATAAAGTTGGAGATTGCAAATCTAAAAAAAATGACAAATGGTGAATAAATGAAGGATAAATGTATATCAATTACTTAGGATTTACTAAGAATTGCCAATAATAACAAAATTCTATTCAAAACTTTTAGAAAGGTCACCAATAGCTTTAACAAATAGTTTTGATAGCAAATAAGACTGGAAACAAAAATAACTTAAAAATTTTTTTAAATAAAAAACTGTATAAATAATTAATTAAACTGTAGATAATTAATAATTTAAAAATTAATAACTAATAATTAAAACTTCTAAACTCAAATAATAAATTGAAACTTCTATATTATTTTACCTCATGGATTGGAACTTCCATATGTGCTATTTCTCTGCTATAAACTATCGTTTGAGCTTGGTAAACTAAAGATTTTCCATTTCCCTATAATAAAACAAAATGATTTTTTTTTTTGAAAAAAAAAAGAAGATTATTTCAAATGAGTTATTCCCATTAATTAAGAAAAACCTTTATAATGACATCAGGTTTTAGATCAATATATCCAGAACCAATTTCTTCATAAGATATGGTGTATGACAAAACTCCACCATAAGCAATAAGCTGCATTAAAAGAAATATAAGCTCAATATAAAAAACTTTATTTTATAAAAAGATATTTTATTTACCATGAATTTAAACTTCTTTAAATTATATTAAGTTCATTATTTATTACAAAATAATTTCTCTACTACTGGTATAATAAATTTTTTCAGCTATTATAATTATTTCATCTACTTTTCATCTATTATATTTTTAATTCTCTTTCTCTTAGGAATTATTGCTTTAACAACAATATACATCCATAGAGAACATGTAAAATTGCCAGATGTCCAGCTTTTATGAAGGAGAACGCAGTAAAAAAGTTTACTTTTACAGGTTTGGCACTGTATTCTCCTCTGTAAAAACCGTACATCTGTCAACTCTAAGAGAATGTGAAGATGCTTTAGCAGTATTTTTTAAATTATCATATTATCCTTAAAACAGTTTAAGGCCCTTGATTTAACAACATTTTCTGGCAAAAAATTCCAGTTTTTTATTATTCTGTTATTAAAGTTATTTCTTGAAGTTCACTTGAGTTCACGTATATATGCCCATGTATAGATTGATTTGTTTTTTGAACTAATTCAAGACTTATAAGCCATTTGATATTTTACAGTAATATTTTAGATCCTCCCTAAATGCAATTTTCTAAAGTCATTAAAATTAAATTTCAATAGCCTTTCTTCACAGGGTAGATTTTTTAGTTTAGGAAAGTTTTGCAGCTCTTCTTTGGACCTTCTCAAATTCTAATATGTTAATTTTTAGAGTTAAGTTTCAGATTGACACTGCAAACTCAAGATGAGATCTTACAAGCATCAGATATAATGTTTTCACTATTTCAAAATTTAAGAAGTAAAAATTATTTTTATCAAAACCAATGCTATTTGTGCATTAACAACTTCTGATTTTACTTGCTTATGCAGATATTTATATGCTTAAGTCTTTCTTTACTTATTTTCTTTAATTTCATAATTTTCATTGGAACTGTTAATAGTATACTTGTTAGTTATATATTTTTTATTTTTATTTTTAGAAGCAAATTAAAATTTTAAATTTTTTCTTGTTGAGTTTTCATTACCCCCAAGCTACACCAATTGATTACTTTAATAACGTTGGTTTGTAGTTGATTTGGTGCTTTTAAAACACTGTAATTATTATCGATAACTAAAGATGCAGGTCACAAGACCAAAGTCTTGGTCTTGAAACGCCTTGAGACTCGTATTTAACTGTCTTGGTCTTGGTATTGGTCTTGAAGCCTAAAGTTTTGATCTTAATCTTGGTCTTGAAAGCCTAAAGTATTGGTCTTATTCTCGAACCTCTACTGTCTTTTACTTGGTCTAGTAAAGTAGACACAATGATAGAGATAGCAAGGAGTATTGGTCTAGTAAAGTAGAGGCGATGATAGAGATGGCAAGGATGCACTCCTGACGAGCAATGCTAGCCATTTTTATCAGGCTCTCTGAAACATCATTGATGAATATTTTGTGGTCTAGAGGAAGGAGTTTCACTTACATTAGTCCACTACTTAATTTCAATAGGATTTTACAACACCACTATTTTTATTATCTTTCTGCTTTCCCTATTTGGTTTTTATATGTGTGTATATATATATATATATATATATATATATATATATATATATATATATATATATATATATATATATATATATATATATATATATATATATGTGTGTGTGTGTGTGTGTGTGTGTGTGTGTGTGTGTGTGTGTGTGTGTGTGTGTGTGTGTGTGTGTGTGTGTGTGTGTGTGTGTGTGTGTGTGTGAGTGTGTGTATGTATATATATATATATATATATATATATATATATATATATATATATATATATATATACATATATATATAAATATACATATATATATATATATATATATATATATATATATATATATATATATATATATATATATATATATATATATATATATATATATATATATATATGTATTTGTATGTGTACGGGTATGTATGTGTGTATATGTGTTTATATGTATGTATGTATATATATACATATTTTAGCACTTTGTCTTTACTTTATTTGAACACTATTTTATTTATTGTCATTTAATTTTATTGTTGATTTTATTAAAGTTTATTATCTTCTATCTATATGAACATTTATAGCTTGATCAGTTAGAGCGTCAACCTGGTAATCATAGAGATCCAGGTTCAATTCCTGAGCATATTATATTAAACTTAGTATTTTAACTTTGTTTTTTATACCTTGCGCAATGGTTATAATTTTTCATTAAGAACCTGAGTTTATAATTTTTATTAAATGCGCGATGTCTAAACTATCATTATTATTTTTTTAATACACACTTTACTTCAGTTTTATTTTGCTCTAAACATCTGTTTATAATATCTTTTTAATTTTATTTTTTTATCCTTTCTCTGTTACTAATTTTTTCCTTATTTTACTTGGGCTTGACAGCTTTAATCCTTTAATGCATATTTTTTCATTTTTTTAAAATTAATCTTGGTCTTGAAAGCCTAAAGTAGAGTTCTTGGTCTTGGCCTCAGACCTCTACTGTCTTTTACTTTCTTGATTCTTACAAAAAATATTAACTCAATGAATGGATTAGTTTATAATAACAAACCGCAGATCGCCACAACTTCTCAATGAGAGTTTGTTGCGTTGGTTTAACAAAGTTCTTAAATTTTTTTTGTTAGGAGAACTTTAAAAGAATTTTTTTTTTTAATTTTTAATAAGAATTATTTATACTATATATTTTTTTTATTTGTTTATGTATTTTTTTTTGTTTGATGTATAAAAATGCATAAGTAAATAAAAAATAAGTATATAAATATTTTTATTTAGACATTAAAAAAAAGAAGAAAAGATTTATTTGCTATTCTCCTAATAAGCTTCTAATCCCAATTTTCTTGTAAAAATTTTCAAAGTCTTGGTCTTGGGTTGATTTTTTGATGTTTTGGTCTTGGTCAAGGTCTTTAGTCCAAATCTTTTGGTCTTGGTCTTTACTGTCTTGACTACATCTCTGTCTATAACTGAAATTAATTTATAATTCTACTATCTTATTTAATTTTTTAAAATGGCTTTAGTTTGCATAAAAATGTTTAAAGTTAAAACACTTTATTGTATGGTAAATGTTTATTAAGTATTAAAAAACTTTTTGTTTTTATGGTAAATTTTTTATTCAATTTTAGTTCTGTTAAGTTGTTTTTGTCATTTTGTTGACGTGACCATTCAGTCGGCATTTAGTTAACGACTAGATCTAGTAGGGATATTTATTATGTTTTTTCTTTACTATTAAATAGCAGAATTATTAGAATATGTAAATAATGTAATAGTTTGTGTATAAATCCTTTTATTTTTACTTTATTATTATATTTAATTTACTAGATTATAAGCCGACAGGTTTGACTGGTGATATAAATAATGTTGTTCATCATTTATATCAATTATAACATTGCCATTTTTTATATGCATTTATATTTTTTTTAATAGTTCAAAAGCTGTCTAAACAAAATGGTGAATTGAGTTTGAATTAACCAGAAAAGTTATAAGTGTAATCTTTGGGATTCAACTTGTAATGATGTTCCAAGAACAACTTAGTTGGAGATGGAAAACCACAGTTACTTTTTAAGTTATATCAAAAAGTGAATGCACAAGATTTTACTTCACAGTTAAATATAAGCAATGTTTATAAATAATTATTTAATTATATAATTGTTCTATACAAATGCATACAACATACATGTAATATTTATATATGTGCATAAATCTTTTTATTTTAACTTTGTCATTTTATTTAAGTTACTACATTATTAGCAGGCTGGTTTGACTGACAATATAAATGATGTTGTACATCATGCAGATAGCTTGGGCAAAAAAGAGGTAATAATCTTATAATTGTTATTTATAAATGATGGTATATTAATTGCTACTTTTTTTTATATAAATGTTACCCAACATTTGGCAACATTTTTATAGAATGTTCAAAAAGTTGCGTGTTAAGGCATTATTATTAAGTAAGTTATAATAGATAATAATCATAAGTATAAATGAATAAGTAAATAAAGATAATTAGTATGTATATATTAATTGTATGATGTATTGTCTAGATTGGTGAAATAGACAATGATACTAACTGTTGTGAAAATTATTATGAATATCAAAATGTGAATGGTACTTTGTTTGATGTTTACCTAGTTCTACAGATACAGTTGGCGGTGCAATCGCATTTATAAATGGTCTTGATACTTTTTTGGATTGAATATGTTGTATTGATAATTTTTTTAAATTTTTTGAAACTTGAAGTTCCCTTACGGAAATATTCCATGGAAAACCCATGGAATTCCATGAGTAAACCATGGTTTTCCCATGAAAAACGGGAATTCCATGGAATTTCCATGGGTAAATTTCATGAAAATTGAAATCCTATGGAATTTCCATGGGTGAACCATGTTTTTTTTTTCATAGCTTAAGCTGCGCCATGGTTGTTACAAATGCGCTTTTAAAGATGGCGTCATAGCTCGTAGAGTTATGATTATTTTTAAATTAGAAAACAATACTTACTGCATTCTTCTGTTTTTCTGTGTTTAATAAGGCTATGAATTATATGTTTTTTATAATGCAATACATTTATATGTTTTAACTAAACATACAGACATAAACAACTAGATATATTTATCATATTATAATGCATTATAAAAGGGATTATTTTTAATTACATTTTATTATATATCATTTATGCATATACTTATTTTAACTGTTTCCAGTAGCTTTGCTTACTTTGCATAACTTGCAATAGTATAGCAAGTATGTCAAGTAAACCAGTTTGAATTTTAATCCCTACTTGGCAAATTATTTGCCAAATAATTATTATTTGGTTTACAACAAATAAATGTTTAGTTTTAATCTACATTAAATAACTAGTGTATTAATGTACATAGTGTAATTTAATGTACATTCAAACTAGTATAATTATTATTATAAAATTTATCGAACGTATTAAAGAAACTTATTTAAAATATTAATATACAAGCAGTATATTAGATAAGATTAGATAACTAAGATAATAAGATTAGATAACTAATGTACAAAAGATAACTAGTATGATCTTTTTTATTTTTTTTTTATAATAGCCTTAGATTACATAAAAATGCTTGAAGTTTATTGTATCGTAAATGTTCATTAAGTATTAAAAAACATTTTTTTATGATAAATGTTCTATTCAATTTTAGTTCTGTTAAGTTGTTTTTGTCTTTTTGTTGTAATTTTTTCTTTAGAATTATTAGAATATGTAAATAATGTAATATAAATAATGTTTATAAATTCTTTTATATTTACTTTATTATTTCATTTAAATTACTACATTATAAGCCAACAGGTTTGACTGGCAATATAAATAATGTTGTTCATCTTTTATATTGTTTATAACATCGTCAGTTTTTATATGCATTTAATATTTTTAAGAATAGTTCAAAAGCTGTCAAAATAAAATGGTGAATTGAGTTTAAACCAGAAAAGATATAAACGTAATCTTTGGGATTCAACTTGTAAGGATGTTCCAAGAACCACTTAGTTGGAGAAGGAAAACTGTGGTAATATTTTATAAGTATCAGTAAGGGAATTTACTTAATGCACAAGATTTTACTTCATAGTTAAATATAAGCATATAAAAGCAATGTTTATAAATAATACACTATTATTTATTATAATACAATTATTTTTATTTGTTTATATTTAACTGATGTAAAGTGCTCGTCTTTAGTTAAAATAAATTAATTTTTGCACACACTTTGATATTTACTATGCTTTTACATTACTATACTTTATAAATTACATATTTGTTATGTTTTAAATAGTGAAGTAAAAATATAATAAATTTTTGAATTTAATGGTATGTGCGTAAGTTCTTTTATTTTAACTTTATCATTTTATTTAAATTACTGCATTATAAGCAGGTAAGTTTGACAATATAAATAATGTTGTACATCATGCAGACAGCTCAGACAAAGAAGTAAGTTTTTACTTAAAATTACAATTTATAAGTTATACTATATTTGTTGCTGCCTTATTCTATATAAATGTTACTAACATGCAGGTAAAATTTATATATGTGTATAAATCTTTTCATTTTAACCTTATCATTTCATTTAAATATAAATTTTTAATTTATTTATTTAGCCGTTCATTAACAAGTCCTGTGCTTTATAATATATTAAAAAATGGAAGGACGTGAAGAAAACAGGTTTGTAAATGATGTTGTACATCATGCAGATAGCTCAGAAGAAGAAGTAAGTTTTTTTTTTTAATTACAAAAGTAAATATATAATATAATATTTGTTGCTGCCTTGTTCTATATAAATGTTTCTAACATGCAGGTAACATTTATATATGTATTAGTTTGAATAAATCATTTTAATAAAGTTACATTATAGGCAGGAATGTTTGACTGGAAATATAAACGATGTTGTACATAATGCAGATAGCTTAGGCAAAAAAGAGGTAACAATCTAATAATTTGTATTTATAAATAATGATATATTCATTGCTACTTTTTTCTATATACCTAACATTTGGCAACATTCATAATTGTGTATAATGCCTAATTATAAAGTAAGTTATAATAGATAATAATTATAAGTAAAATGAATTAGTAAATAAAGAAAACTAGTTAGAATGTATATAATAGTTGTATGATGTATTGTCTAGATTGGTGAAATGGAGAATGAGACTAACTAGGGTGAAAAAAAATGAATATTAATATGTGAATGGTACTTTGTTTAACATCTACCTGTTTCTACAGATACAGTACAGACGCATTTATAAATGGGCTTGATGTTTTTTTGAATTAAATATGTTGTATTGATGGTTCTTTTTAACTTGTTAAAACTTGAAGTTATTATCAAATTTATATATACTATTTTTATCAAATAGTTAATATAAAATAATAAACATGTAAATTGTTTTATTTTTTGTAAAAATTGTTTTCTTGATAAATTTCAATTGTTTATCACTATGTATATCACTTATAGTATTACATTACTTGTAATTTTTTGTTTTATTTATTTTCAGTATGTTATACATATGCGTGCATTAAATATTGTGGGGAAGTCAAGTTTTGATGTTTTAGGTGCATTATAGCTATTATTTTTCAAAGATTTGTAGGATTTAACAAGATTTAAATTTTATTTTGTTTATTGATTTTATTTGAAGAAAGCGATCTCATAGATTAAGAGAATTCAATAATAGTGGGATAAAATTTGCTTTTATGATTTAATATGACAATTCAAATAACATTAGATAAAAAACTTGAAAACAAATCATGCTTTTTTACCATGAAAAATCCATAAGTTTTCATTGGAAAGGTGTTCCTAATACCTATGGAAATTCCATGGTTTTTCCATGGATGGAAAATCATTGAATATCTAGGGTATTTGGAACACTTTTCCATGAAAAACTTAAAGATTTTTCATGGGAAATTCATGTGTTTTCCATGGAAAACTCATGGTTTTTCCATGGAAAACTCATGGTTTTTCCATGGAAAACTCATGGTTTTTCCATGGAAAACTCATGGTTTTTCCATGGAGAACTCATGGTTTTTCCATGGAAAACTCATGGTTTTTCCATGGAAAACTCATGGTTTTTCCATGGAAAACTCATGGTTTTTTCATGGAAAACTCATGGTTTTTTCATGGGAACGTGTTCCAAATACCCATGGTTTTTCCATGGGTTTTTTTTTCTAAAATTCCCATGGGAAATTTTCGTACGGGTTATTAATTATCAAATTCATATATGCTAATTTTTATCAAATAATTAATTAAAAATAATAAACATGAATTTGCTATATTTTCTGTAAAAATTGTTTTCCTAATCTATTTCAATTGTTTATCACTATATGTATATCAATTAAAGTATGAAATAACTTGTAATTTTATGTTTCATTTATTTTCAGTATGTTTATACATATGCATGCTTTAAATATTGTGGTGAAGTCAAGTTTTAATGTTTTAGGTACATTATAGCTATTATTTTGCGCTATAAAATTTGCTTTTTATGTTTTAATATGACAATTCAAATAACATTAGATCAAAAAAACTTGAAAACAAAATATGCTATTTTACCATGGAAAATCCATGAGTTTTCCTTGAAAACATGTTCCAAATACCCATGGAAATTCCATGGTTTTTCCATGGATGGAAAAACCAAGGAATTTCCATGGGTATTTGGAACACTTTTTCATGGGAAACTTATGGGTTTTCCAAGGAAAAGTCATGGTTTTTCCATGGATAACCCATGGTTTTTCCATGGATAACCCATGGTTTTTCCATGGATAACCCATGGTTTTTCCATGGATAACCCATGGTTTTTCCATGGATAACCCATGGTTTTTTCATGGATAATCCATGGTTTTTCAATGAAAATTTGTTTCAAACACCCATGGAATTTTCATGGTTTTTCCATGTTTTTTTTTATAGACTTTCCATGGAAATTTTCCATATGGACTTGTATACCATTAATACCAATCTCTCGTGTTACCATTTAATACAAACATATAGTATACCATTTGATTTAACTCCTATATAAACAAATTTTCACAATTTCTGTCAAAAATACAAGTCTATTTTCATTTGGTTGCATTGTTTTTAAAAGAAATGTATAATTTTCAATCATTTCAGAATTTTATTTATCAAAAAAATGAAACGTTAAAGACTGACCTTTTCTTTATGGAAAGAGTCTGGCAAGGACCAATAAAGTAATCGATTTTCAGGTAAATCACTTAAAACTGCTTCATTTAAAAATCCTACATAAAGTCCTTTAGAAATATTAATTGTTTCTTCAAAGTTTGTGATTTTAACTCCACTCATATTTAAAAGTTTGAACTAAAAAGCAGAAATTTGAGTAATTAAAAATAAACAAATAAGTTAAAAAAATAAAAAAACAAACAATTAAACTTACATTGAAATTGATGTTTTCCGAACTTTTACAAACATCAGTAACACCAAAGCACCAGCATTTAAGACAGCCATCTTTATTTTTTTTATGAAGATAAAAAGATCCTGGTTTACAATGAGAGCATTTTTCTCCAATAACATTCTTCTAGTAAGTTCAGAAAGAGTTAAAGAAAAATTAAGTTATAATCAAAGAAAAATCTTAAAAAAATCATGATATTTAAAAATCATACTAATAAATGTTCAGGTGGAACAGTTGACAAATAATAAGATGGACAAAAATAATCAATTAAAATAATTAGAGGTGGACAAAAACAAAAAAAGAAATAAAACAAAAAAAAACTTTATTTACATTAAACATTTAGATGGAACAAATAAAATGAGAAAATTTTATTGATATTAATGGTTTAGGTACATAAAGTAAAAAGATAAAGTTTTATCAATTATTTTAAGAACCTACTTTACAGAGGCATGTTGAGTTATTACAATGTTCTACACCTCTCATGTCACATTCACATCCAGCTAAAAAAAAACCATACTACAATTAGAACGTCATACTGAAATAAGAAACGGCATCATAATGAAATAGGAAGTCGGGTTCACTGCCTTTACTACAGCATAAGTTTTGCAAAAAAGAAATTTCATCCTTTTCTGAAATACCGATATTAGATGCATACATTTAGAAAAAAAGCAAAAATAAGGAAAAAAGCAGTTATTTTTTGCAGCAATAAACCACATTCATATGTCAATACAAGTTGGCATTACCTAACCCAAGAGTCAATGCATTAACATGTAGAACACCCATCTCATTTATAGAAGAATATTTTATGAACTTTATTCTTTAGTAGTATTATTTTTCATTTATAGCACTAGTAAATTATTTTTTCCAGTTTTATTCATAATTAATATAAATAAATATTATAAATAAAATAATAATCTAAATAATAAAAACTGTTTAAAGAAAATTAAAGTTCAAAAAAATTTTTAAATAATAAAAACAACAATTTCATATTAAAAGATTTTGTTAAATGTTTAAACAATAAATTTTATTGTTTTAAAATGAATTTCTTATTTACGATTATTTAACTGTTCAAGCAGTAAAGATCAGAAATCAACACTTGTTAAAAAGGTTATATGTCAAAACTATACCATTAGGAGATGTACAACTTCCACCTTGCTGTAATGGATCTCCAATGTATGGATGTAAACATCTAAAAAGTACAACAACAAAAACATTTTTAAACAGCTAAGCGGTAATGTAATTAGATTTATTAGATTTATGAAAGTAAACATCAAACTTTTCACAGTTTCTTCCTGTGTATCCTCTTTTACATGCATCACAAGTAGGTTCTCCATCTGTATCTAACAAGCAAGTTGAACTAAACCTGAACAAAATTTACATAGAATTTATTCCTTGGCTAAAACATTGCTAAACAAAAAAAGTATTTAAGAGAATGTTAATTTAAACTTACTGATTTGATTCAACAGTTAGTGGACAAGGGCATTTCAAACAAGCATCATGCCTTCCAGAACGTGGGTCACCATAGTAACCAGGTAAACACTTCTCACAATGATCACCAGTGGTAAAATGTAAACAATTCTACTGGACAATTTTTATATCGTAAAAAAAAAAATATTGTTATTAAATTCTTTTTATGTTCATAAATTTAATAAAAAATACTTTTACCCTACAAATTCCAGAGCTTCCATCACAATCATCTGCATGATTATTGCACTGGCAAGGAGTGCATTTTCTTAGCAGAAGATCTTTCACTTTTGTAAAACCTTTGTTGCAATGCTAAAAAAAAAGTAATTAAAATTTTATTTAAATTATTCTTTTTTGATTAAATCAATTTGATTAATTACCCATTTGATTTAACTGTGCTATATAATAATGTAGTAATAAACTTTCTGTACCTAATGTCTAAGTAATTAACCAGCCAGCAAAAGTAGTTAAATCTCAATTTTTTATATAAGAAACTCTAAATTAACTCTTTTCACCCACCTATATCTATATATGTATTTGTCATAAATAGGTTAAACAGTGAATTTAAAGTTGCTTTGTATTTTTTGAATCGACTTTATGTGGTGATAACAGGAATCAATGTAATTAACATAAATTTATATGCAGTAATTAGTGGCTCTCATCTTATTAAAAAGCTATTAAATTTTTTGCTATATATATATATATATGAATAAATCTGTGGCGCTAAATTTTGGTACTAAAATAATGAAATTTCATTTTTCATAAAAAAAAATATGTTAGCTAAAAATCTGTTCTATTTTCGTTTGAAAAATAATCCATAGAGACATTTCATTTTGACTTTATTTAAAGATACCATTTTTGATTAATATGAGCATACTCAAATTACCAAGTGATTTTTATTGAAACTACCTAGTTTAAAGTCCTAAAATTGCAGTGGTTTTAGTTGGTTTTTGAGTAAAAACAAAACATAGTAAATATTTTTAAATATTTTAACAATACTAAATATCTTTCTGTCATTTAAAATCAAATATTTTCAATTTTATTGTTTAAAGGTTTGAGTCAATACAATTTAATATATATATATATATATATATATATATATATATATATATATATATATATATATATATATATATATATATATATATATATATATATATATATATATATATATATATATATATATATATATATATATACATATGAAAATATATATATAATAGTACTTATTTTTAGTTATGAAGGTAAAAAAAAAAAAAAAAAAATTATTGATGTTTTTTTGAATGTAAAACATTTATTCTATGCATTAATAATCATTTTTCAGTGGTATTTAAATATGTAAATTAATACTGCAAACATAAACTGTACCTTTATATTTAGGTTCTGAATAATACCAACAAATTGTTTTATAATTTTAAAATAAAGATTGTTAATCAATTTTTGGCATACATTTGGCATTCCCCTTGCAGATTTCTTTTGAATTGAGTTTCCAAAATGTAATTTTTCTAACAAAATGTGATTTTTCTAACAAAATGTGATTTTATACAAAAAATATTTTTGACAAAATTTATTGATTTAAATCCTGAAAATTTAGTTTAAATCCTAATATTTTAAAATGCCATAAATAATAATTTAGTTTTTTTTTAAATTTTAAAATGCCATAACCAAAATCAGTTTCTGAAAGTTATAACCAAAATCAGTTTCTGAAAGTTTCAGAACAAAAAAAATTCTTGTTTTGAAAGTTCCAATTAAACTGCATTATACTATTTTCATGGATGTGTTTTAATTTGACAATAAAAGTAAGTATGTGTCAGTGCAAATATATGTTGCCAAACTATAAAGAAACCTGGCATGATGTTCCAAAATATTCTGGGGGACAGAGACATTCTTCAACCATTGATGTAACATGATTATTGGATACCATTGGATCATATTCCACAACATCCAGACGCACTTCATAAAGACTGAAAACCAAATAATTCATATAACTTGTAAAAAAAGTAAAAATTAGTTTGAAAACTATGTATTAAAACGATTTCTTATATATGTGCATTATGTATTATGAGTATGTATTTCTTATGTATAGGTATTATGTATAATGAGTATTTCTTGTCTAATATTTAACTCACTAGTCACTAACTTTGAATACTTTAAATTTTAAAATTTTGACTTCAAAACAAACAGGTTTGACAGAAAATGATGAAAAAGAAAAGAAGAATAAAAAAAAAAAAAAAGATTTTATTTTCCATTTATCTTTTTCTTTTCATCATCTGGAAGGTAAGAATATTCAAGAAAATCATCAAGTCTTCCAGAACATTCAGGAATCTTGCAGAACATTTTTGAAGACAAGAATATTCTGGAATTTTATGGAAGATATTAGAGTGTTTTTAAAATAATGAAAGATTCTGAAAACTCTTAAACCTAAAAGAATGTTTTTAAAAGTTCCCAACCTAGAAAGATTTAGAAGGTTCTTATGGTGTATATAAGGACATGGTATGTGAGCTTTATGCATCAATTAGACCAAAATGAGTGATTGATTGCTCACAATCATAGTGAAGCAAAAAAATCCCATTGCAAGAATATACATTTAGAAAATGTACCAAAAAATGGCTTCTTGGTCAATCAATTAAGAGATCTTTTATACTTTGAAGAAAGCTGTTTAAACTTTCAGGTTTTTTTTTCCTAAAATAAAATCTCCTTTCTTAACTATTGCTAATTAAGTAGTGGATGAGACCAAAACCATCTATGATAAGGTTCCACTAAAACTTAAGTAAAACAAAATGGCAAAGTTGTATTTTTCTACTGTTAATGGACTTACAAGCCTCACAATTTTCAAGGAACAAATCAAAGACAGATTGGAAAAGATGGATGAAATAGCTTTGACTGCTGTTGGAAGACTGGTACTTAGCTGGTACCTTGTACCTTAGAGGAGAAATGATACAATTGGCACTGTCTTCCTAAACACCATAAAAGATAAAATTGTCAATGTTTTTTCAGCAAAGAGATATTGAAATAGTTGCAAGCTATGCAAAGATTCTCACACATGATAATAATGTTTTTTTTTATTATTGTTTTTTTTTTAACTCTTTTGAATCCCTTTATTATTATTATTTCACTTAGTTGTCAAAAAATTTTACACTCACATAATAAACAACAATACAACATGGATTCAACACAAACAGTATTTTTCAAAATTGAAAAAATTGATTTTTAATAATGATGTTGTAAGCATTTATAAATTTATATAAAAAATTATTCTGAATGTTAACAACTTGATTAAAAAAAAAATATTTGTAAAAATTTAACAATACTACTTATAAATGTAAAATTTCATTTATCAAAAAAGTATTTATAAATAACATAAATATTTATATATAACATATGCAATTTCTTTTATCAAGTAAATAACTATATAATAATAAAAACAAAAACATTCTAAAATACCCAACTATAAACTGTATACTTATGTATAACATTTAATATTATGTAGTAAAATTTATTTAACTTCAATTTTAAAAATCTTCCAAAAAATTCAACAGCAATCTAACTCCAATGATAAATTTAGAATTCAGAGTTCAGGATAAATTCAGACTTAAAATATTTAAATAAATAAGAAATACCATGAAAATATTTTACTTTGATTCAATTATATCAGTGCTGTAAGTAGCTCGTAACAAAAATGATTGAATATTAGCTAATGCAATGATAAACTCTTCCCTTGTAACTTGCTCATTATCACCTTTTAACCAAAATCTCTGAAAATTTAAAGTTATTAAAATTAAAGTGCAAAAAGTAAAACTTGAAAAATTGCTAGAATAAATAAGAAATTGCTAGAATAAAAAAGAATAAAACACAACCTCATCTAAAATAACTTGAAAATGGTGTTGAATTCCAGAAAGAGGCTCCTTTCCTTCTGTGTAAGCAAGCTGAGTACCATTGCTCTTAATATATAAATAATTTAAAACAAATAATATCAAAATATTTAAACTTTTTAACAGCAATAATAACAATTTTAGTAACAATTAAAAAATAAAATTTAATGTATTTAAAATATTATATATTTTTATACTATATATATATATATATATATATATATATATATATATATATATATATATATATATATATATATATATATATATATATATATATATATATATATATATATATATATACAGTCGACTCTCGATATCTCAAACACTAAAGGACCGGAAAAAAAGTTCGAGATATCGAGAGTTCGAGATATCAAGAAAAGGGTTGAAAATAAATAAAGTTGCCTGACTTTCATTAAAAAAGTTATTTTTCTGACAAAAATTATTAACAACAAAAACTACAACTTTTGAAAAAAATCTGTTATCTGATATTGCTTTAAATTATCCATCTTTTCCATCTTCATTAAATCCTCAAGTTTTAGTGCTAGGGATTGTATTTCATTTCTGTATTTTGAGCTGTATAGCGAAGCATTTTGAATCGTTTCAAAAGCAATTTCTAATTGAATATCAGATGGGCGTGGCGGGGCTCCGACGTCAATAGCTTCGTCAACGCTATCTTCAACTTCATTATCGTCGTTTTCAAAATTAGGGTCTAAAATCTGAGCAATGATTTCAGCATCAGTAGCAAGTGAACCGGTGGTTACTACATCACAATCTAATCCAATGTAAGATTCCGCTGAGAGATCTTCTTGGATGGCACGAGGATCTAACTCTCGCAAACGGTTAAGTTCTTCTGTCAAAAATTTAAAAGGATGATCATCATCAACTTCTTCAATACCCTTGTTTGTTTTGCTGATACCAGCTTTTTTAAAGCAGTTGATGACAGTCCCCTTCGACACAGTATTCCAGGAAAAAACAAGATCTTTCATTGCTTGAAGTATAGAAATTTTTGGCATGGGTTTGTTATTATTGACAGCCTTGATACACAAACGCACAATTTTGTGACAATAATGAGCTTTAAGACTTCGTATTACGCCTTGATCCATGGGCTGAAGGACAGATGTGGTGTTAGGGGAAAAATATTAGATTGATGTTGCTTAGCCCTTCAATGTGTGGGTGGGCAGAACAGTTATCCACCAGGAGTGCTACTTTCCTGTCTTGAGCACAAAAAAATGAGTCAAGTTTCATTACCCATTCTGTAAAAAGGTCTCCGGTCATCCAACTTTTTAGCTAATTTTTATATGTGCAAGGAAGTTGTTTAATGAGCTTAAAACACCAAGGTTTTTTAGATTTTCCAATATCAAACATAGGTAATTTTTCTCCCGTTGCACTCCCTTCTGCTATGCGGGTTAGTCTGACTTTACTATTTTTTTCCCCAAAACATTTTTCTTGTGATAAATGGTATGTTTTGTTTGGTAGGCACTGGTAAAATAGTCCAAACTCATCGGCATTGAAAATGTTTTCAAGTTAGTAATTCAAAAGCAATGTTGGAAGTGTATTTTCATTCCACAAAGCAGTCATATTATTCGTCACGGCGGCACTTTCGCCTGAGATTATTTTAAAGCTGGTACCGTTCCTGAAAATAGGAACAGAATAATTGAATTTTAATTACACGTTTAAAAAACTAAACAAATTAAATATAAACAGATACATGTTATTTGTTTATATTAAAATTGAACAAGATTTGACAAAACTTAACTGACCTTTCTTTCCAATTATGAAACCAACAATCAGATGCCTTAAAATCCAACTCTCCTAATGCTTCTGCAAATTTTAGTGCCTTTTCTTTTAGTATGGTACCATCAATTGGTACTTGTTGACTTCTTTTTGCGACAAACCACGTGTATATGGCCTTGTCTACATTTTTGAAATTACCACTACAAAGTTACTTCCGTTTAGATTTTGTGCCAATTTTTTCTAGTGAGGTTAATAACTTGGTTTTATTTTTAATCCAGGTTGATAATGTGTTCTTTGGGACTCCATACTTTTTGGCAACCTCTGTCTCTAGGTCTTTTAATGCCTTGCATTTTTTTATTATAGATTTGTTCATGAGTTTTCGTTTGACGAGCGGCATGTTGTTGCGTTTGACAAAAAGAATAAATTAATATATTAAAGGAAAACTTTTCAGAAATTCGATTCTTAAAAAAAAATCAAATTTAAAAATCGAATTGAAAATTTTTTTTTTCGATAATTTGAATTTAAAATGTTTTAATAAAATTTAATTTTAAAAAATTAAATTTTATTAAAACATTTTTGAAAAAAAAAATGTTGAAAAGTTCGAGATAACGAGAGAAAATTGCCCTGTGGACCAAAAATATTGTTCGAGATACCAAAAAGTTCGAGATATTAAGGTTCGAGATATCGAGAGGATTTTAGCCTAAACTAATACGTTATGTCCATGGGACCGCTAAAAAAGTTCGAGATATCAAGTATTCAAGATATCGAGAGTTGACTGTATATATATATATATATATATATATATATATATATATATATATATATATATATATATATATATATATATATATATATATATATATATATATATATACATAAATTAGTAGAAAATCACTTAACAAAATTTTATTTTTATTTTACACTGTGTTTTATCAACAAAGACTCATCAGAAATGAACGATCAAATTAATAAAACTTCAATTTATACCAAAAAATTAAATTACAGGAAGTCACAAATGTTTTAACTACTGTAAATTTTCACAAATTTGTGGAATTTGCTGACACTATTATAAAAAGATTACTTATGCTTTTTTTTTATAAAAATATTTTTAAATAAGGGGGGATTTAATGTAACTATTATTTGAGCTCACTTATTTTTATAGTTTTTTTAGCAGAAACTAATTTTCGTGCCTGCATTTAGAAATCAATTCCGATTTTTTGTTTAACAAACATTCTTGGTTTGCATGTGTAATTATTTGAAATTTTTCTTGTAGACATAGTATGCATTTTTTGGAAAGAAAAGAATGTTGTAAGAGAACTTATGCACAAACTGCCAGCATATTTGTTGAGCCTAGCACATCCAGAGTTGCTGAAAATTTACTTGGATTTTTGTTTTCGGAATCAAGAGTTGTTTTCGGAATCAAGAGTTCAGAGTTGGATGGAGAGAATACGTATGCGCCTAATTTAAGAAACAGATATTATGGACAGACCATTACTTTTAATAAAGAGGATATTAAGGAAACCGTGAGAACAGCTAAAGGAATGGATATATCAAACAATAAAATAACTGCAACATTGATTAAGCTGATCACACAAACAGGAGGTGATTCCAGTATGCTGCCACTTTCGCAACATTTTGAACAAAATTCACGATCTTAAGATTATTATTTAAAATGAGATTAAACATAATTAGATTAAAATTGTTCAATTGCATTTTGATGGAAAGCTGATCAAGGTTACTAAATATGATGACAATAAAAAGATAAAGTTGATGTATATAATAACTTTTTTAAATTCTTATTCTTTTAATTCTTATTATCAAAATATTTATGGGACTTAATACCAGCTCACAAAGATAAACCAGTTGACCAAAATTGCATTGTTTTGAGAGCAGGGTGGGTTAATCATCTCCTTGGAGCTACAGGAGTTACATTTGGAACAGGGCTTAATTAGCTCATTGCTATCAAAAGCATTCGGACAGAGTTTGATGTTGCAGATCATGTAAGAACTGTTTGCTTTGACACTACTGCAAGCATTACTGGAATGATTTGTGATTCAATATACAGGTAATTTTGATTACGAATGCTAAACATAAACTAGATGCTCATTCAAATTTGCAATTTAAAATTTGAAGTTAATTATAAAGAAATGTGAACAATTTATATTTATAAATCATTCAGGCTAAGAAAAGATATTGGGAAACCTATGCTGATGCTTGCATGCAGACATCATGTTTTAGAAATAGTTCTTAAACATTTTTGGATGGCTGTAACTATTGAACAAACAAGTTGGTTGGAACAAGTTTGTTGAAACAAACAAGTTGGTTGGAACAAACATCTTGAACAAACAAGGTCCTGAAATTGTTCTATTCAAGGGTCTAAAGGAAAAATGGATAGGTTTGAATATTGTAAACTGCATCACCGCCTACTTCAAGTGGCAATATTATCGTGGATCTTGGTTGGAAAAGCAGGCGTTTTGTGCAAAGAATCAGCTTAGGAAAATTGTTGAAACTGAAGTTTTTAAAAATTGTCAGGTTGTTATTTGTTAAAGTTATTGTAAGATAAACAGAAAAAATTTAAATATGTGTTATATAGATAATAAATAAATATAACCTGATAGAGTTAAAAGAAAAGAGCTAATTATCATGAACTAGCCAAGTTGGCCCTCTTGGTTCCAGACATTAAATCTACCCACATTCACAATCCTGGTGCAGTTCATCATGCACGGTTTATGGTTAAGTGCATACACTACCTTAAGATCATGCTTTTTCTTAATCAGACTAAGGAGCTTCTAAATATGAACAAGGAAAAGATCACAGAGGTAGAGAGAATGGCAAACTTTATTTCAATATTTTATGTTCCAAAGTTTTTGACTGCTAAAAAATCAGACATTTCAGCAATCCAAGTTATTTTAGAATTAAATTGATTACTTGATATGAATATGCTACTATATTTTAATGAAAATTTAGATTTTTTAAACTTTTTAAACCTTTTCAAAACCAACACTTCATATGGCAGATGGCACACCTGGAGGAAATTGAACCAGCAGCAGCAGTAGTTTTACACAGATGGGGAAAACATAGTTAGTACTTAAATCCTACAATAGTTATCTTTGCCTTTACGAATACAGACAAGTCTGTATAAAAGAAGATATAACAAAAAAGATGTTGCAATACCCTAGACCCAAGGCCTATGATTTTGATAGGAAAAATAATAATAGGTTTATAAGAAGTAAGGAAGAGTTTGTCTTGTTCGAAGAACCACCTACCCTTGCAGATTATGTTGGTTATGAGTCTTGGCTAATTTTTGATATTCTTGAACATAATGAGCTGCAAGTCAAATGGCTTTTGTTCCCTTCTGCTGCATAGAAAGTTGATCTAGATTTTTTCGCTTTTAAAACTTTTGTTAAAAATTTGGCGGTTGTAAATGATGTAGCAGAGAGAGATGTAAAGTCAGTTCAAGAAGCATTGCAAATGATATATAATGAAAAGAAGTTGCAAAAGATGCTTTTAGTCAAGAGAAAAATTGATAAACCAGTTTCTTGAACTTTCATCCAAGAAGGCTGCTGAACAGCTAACTCCAGCAGAGAAGCTTAGTATCATTTATGAGCAAATAGTTTTTGAGCCGACGAAGCTGTCTCTATCCAGTGATAGCCAGCATTGATATTGTGGAAGATATTAATGTTTGGGAGGGTCTATGGGCCGAGAATGAAGTTTTCAACAATTCGGAAATCTAATTCATTTTTTGAAACATTTTTACAAAAAAATTATAGTAGTAAGGTTTACTTCCACTTTATATAAAATAGCTGTTATAAAAATGTTCTAAATTAATAAAACATTAAGTAAGTAGGACAAGTTTAGCTCCTTGGGTTTAAACAGCAGGAGGAGCCCCACTCCTGAAGGGAAAGGGAGGGGCTGCCGATCTAGGCTTTAAAAACATCAAAAATATATTATAAACCCAGTATATCTATTATTAAGTAATTTGCATTTTTTTTTTTACATCATCAACAATTCGCGGCAAAATCTGCACTTTTTAGCGGTTGATTAATTTTCCTATACTTTTTTTCTTTAATTTGAAAAATTAAAGAAAAAAAGTATAGGAAAATTAATCAACCGCTACAGATTGTGCTACAGACATGTTGTATACATGTCTGTAGCACAATCAGGTCTTCAGATATCTGATAACTAGTAAGAATTTCAAAATTTGAAAAAAAATGGCGTTAGCGCAAAGTGCTAAAATAATTTTTTTGAAAAATAAAAAATATATTTTGAAATAACTTGTAATTGCACATCTTTTAGGCCTGCATACATATTAAAAAAACAAAATTGATGAAAAATAAACACCCCTAGTGTGGTAGATTTAAATTCTGTATCTCTGTATGTCTTGCTTATGAAGCAAGTACACTACCACTGCATCATTTCTGCATTGTATGCTCTATGTATAATTTAGAAATATTTTTTATTGTAGAAATATAGTACAGGTAGTAATACATCAAAATATAACATTTAATAAAAGTTTAACTAATATTATTATTAAATTATTTTAAATAATAATATTACTATTATAATAAATATTATAAATTTTATTGTTATTACTGTTTGTTATTATAATAAGGCTTTTATTGCTAAAAGCCTAAAATAAAAAATTTATATTGTCATAGAGAAAGTAATAAAGAAAAAAACAAAACATTGGATACACAATGCCATTTAAAAGATAAAAAAACAAAATCTTCTAAATCATGGTAATGCAAGGTCTTAGATAATAATGGATCAATAGAAAAATGTATTTTTTCCAAAATATCCTAATTAACATCTCTGTCAACATAATGAAGGGACCTTGTTATCTTGTCTTTTTAACAACTTTAAATGTGTTCTACAAAATAGAGTGCCAATTTTTAAAAGAACAAAGGAATAATAAATTATTAGAAAATTACTTAGTAAATTTTTTCATTGTGCACTATGTTTCATCTATAAAAAAAGAAAAAAAAAAAAAAAAAAGAAATGAATAATCAAATTATTAAAAACTTTAATTTATACCAAAAATCAAATAACAGCATTGTGTCTTTCGAATACTTTTTATTTTTAAAGGATTGCTTATAATTGGAAAACTGTTTTTTTTATTTACGCTTAAGTTAATAAAAGTTAAACCAATATATTGTTTATTAGGCAGAAGAAACAACACATAGCTATACCATGTTTTTGATAAACATTTTTCACTCATTGGACAGTTGTTTTTATGTTTACAAATATAATTTTCTTTAATTTTATCATTTAGAATTTATTTTTTGTTTAAAGCATTATTATGACATCTTTCCACACCTTTTTTGTAATTGTAGCTAACTTTAATCATTTTTGATTAAAAATTTCATGTAACTTATTTAAGGACAGGAACTGTTTATGCACCAATTTTAATTATACTTTTGGTATGTAAGTGGAAACATTTATATATATATATATATATATATATATATATATATATATATATATATATATATATATATATATATATATATATATATATATATATATATATATATATATATATATATATATATATATATATATATATATATATATATATATATATATATATATTTAGCAACTTAATGCTAGTTCAGTAACTTTTACAAACTAAATGTTCACTAATTAATAAGTTGATTATTTTTTAATGTTTGGAATAGTTTTTTTGAACTTTTTGAAGTCCAGTTGAACAAATCCACAAGCTATTTCATGGTATAGTTTCAAACTACACATGAAAAATGGCTCTATTATATTGGCTACTTTTATAAAAATAGGTAAATGTATATATATATATATATATATATATATATATATATATATATATATATATATATATATATATATATATATATATATATATATATATATATATAAGGATAACGATAATGTTCAGATCAGCACTGTCCTAATATATTTTAAACTGGAATTTTATGAAAAACAAAACAATTAATAATGAAAAAAACAAAGTTTTTTTGCTGTAATAAAAGTTATTCATGATAGATCTAGATGATACCTGCCCAAACTCAATCTTCAGTCAATGTATAAACTGAAGCCCCTACAGCCCCCCATTTTACTCAATTTTCATCAATATTTTATTCCAAGGTAAGTAGACAAAGATATTTGTATATATATAATGTATAATACAAACAATATAACATCTGGTATAATGTATATTACCAACAATATAACATCTGGCCCATACAATGGCTTTTCAAAAGGTTTTGACATATAAGATATTGTAAAACGCAAGTTTCCACCATATGAAGTAACCTTTAAGAAAATTCATTAGAAATTATTGCATTTTATGAAACACTTAATAATAGCTGTGAATTAAAAATTGAAAACAATTTATAAAAAAAAAAAAAAAAATTTTTATGACATAAATGCTTTTACTATTTCTTTTGGCTGATTATAGATTTAAAATATTTTAACAAAAAAAGTTCAACTAACCTTGTCACCACAGTAGCTTAACGGAAGCTCCCAGTATAAAATAGCCCCATTGCCTAGAGAATCAGCTTTATAGGTAACAGAGTTAGTAATTGGATTGTATAATATGTTATCCTTGTTGACTCGATATCCTTCAATTGTGCGCAAGTTGATGTTGTATATATCATTAGCATTAAGAACATTCTTAAATAAACAACAGTTACTTTATTTTATTAAATTTTAAAATCTGATTTACTTTATAAAAGAAGTTTCAAAATCAAAATATCATAAAATAAAAGTAGGTGTAACAAAATATTTTAACTTAAAATGAATTCAAACAAAATCTTATTCATTTTTAATAATAACAACTTTCTAATAATGACAACTTTCTAATAACAATAACTTCCAAAAAAAATTTAAATTTTAAGCAATCTATATAAAAACTACACAAATAAAAAACTAAATTAAAAAAAAAAACTTTAAAAGAGTAAAATTTTTACCTAATTAATAGTTTAAATTAAAAAAATCAAAATTTTATTATTATGCAGTTTCTACAATTATGATTATTTATATAGCTTTACTTGTTTACGTTCTAGCTTGGCACTTCGGCAATTCTTTGTCAAACCATTACAAAAACACTTTGTACATCCATCTTTATTTTGTAGTTGCAAATTAAAAAAACCATCTTTACATTTTTCACAATAATAACCCTCCACATTTTTCTATGAAAAAAAAAATCACAAAGATAAATAAAAAATAACAAAGATAGAGAAAATTAATATCAATAATAAACAATAAAAAAACAATAGTATTATTTAATGAGATTAATTATTAATTAAATAATAGTAATAATTATAAAAATCCTAATAGCAAAAAAATTTATAGTTAAGATGATTTGTTTTTACTAACTCCATAAATTAAATAAAATAATAATTTATTATTCTAATAAATAATAATTTCATATTACTATTTTTTTATTTTTAACTCTTTTTGCTTAATCTAATTTTAATTAAATATTAATTAACTTTTTGTAATACATATTTAGTTACTCTTTCCATCATTTTTAAGCACTTAACTCCATTAATCAGAAATCTCCCTTTCCCTTTTTTTCTTCTTCACTGAATTCTCATCCCCAAGGCTGAAGATGGAACTCTACAGTCAAGTAAAATACTCATTAATTTTTTTTTTATTGTTGACTCTCTCACCCAAATCTGAAACTTGAGCCTCAACAAACAGCTGCATAGAGAAACAAGTAATTTAAATAAACAATTCTTATAGTTTAGTTACAACAAAAATGGTCTTAAATATTTATTATTATGTCATTATACCAATATTTATTAAAATAAATTTTTATTAAATTTTTAAGTATTTATATTAATATTAACAAATATTTTAAAATATTTATTAATATGTCTGTTATGTCTATTACATCTATGTCTATAAAACATTTTATAGAGATTATATATGTTAATATTTGGTATTTATTTGGTATTTATTTATTTAATTTTGGTATTTATTTGTTAGGTAAAACAATAAGATAAAAATAACTTAGTTAATAAATAATAAGATAAAAATAACTTAGTTTTTAGTTTTAAAATAAAACTTTTAATACCTTGCACTTGCACTTGTTCAAGGAACTCTCTGTTTCTTCAAGAGACACTCCAGCAGAATTGCATTCAGAAACACCACTTAATTGAAGCTTAAAATAAATTATTTGAATTAATTATGAATCTTTCACTATTTCATCAACATATGATGAAAATTTCAAAACTCAATATTTAAGATAAGCAAAATTTTAATGCTTAAAATATCATTAATTTATATTAAAACATTATGTTGTAAAAGAAATAGAAACACAAAAAAGTGTTTCAGTTACTGAAATTGCTAAAATACTAAAGTTTGTTATGACATAGCAAAAAAAAAATCGAGGTCATGTTTAAAGTTTTCACAACTTTCAGCTTGTTTTTACAAAATACGTTTATTCATACAACTTAAGAAAAAATCTCACTTCATCATTTTTTTTCCATTCTTTGATGGAGTCAAACAATATTGAAGTCATTTTTGTAACTAAAATTAAATAAATAATTAAATAAAAAAAAAATAAAACAAAAACAAAAACAATAAATATATATATATATATATATATATATAAAAAACAAAAAAAGTAACGAACTATTATCTTTTTTATTCAAACACTGGTTAACTTTGCCACATGACTTAGATAAAATACTAATTTCTCTTAGCGTTAGTGTACAACCAAATATTTGAAACTCATCAATGTATCCATCCATTTTATAATCAACACCACCAGAAAAATATTTTCCAATTCTTAATCCCAGCATCCAATGTGTACTGAGAACAGCATTACTCAATTTTTTCTTTTGCAAATTTCCATCAATAAAAATTCGGCCCAATCCTATAGTTTATGTTAAAAAGATAAGCAACAAATATAAATAACTAAACAAATATATAAACAATACTAACATATAGTTGTTATAAACTTTTAAGTAACTTTTATAGTTAGGGTTCCTCAAGTATTTTAGGTAGCAAGATTAGAAGCTGATAAGATAATTGGTGATTTTGTTGATGGTAACAAAAATAAGTAAAACTTTGTCAATTCAGACATTTTTAGATAGTCAGACAGATATTCAGACATGAAAAAATATCTAAACGTAGTAGTATCATATTTACTTATTCATATCATACTTATTAGTAGTTGATATAATAAAAATTAGAGAAATAATTTTAAATAAAAACCTGAATGGGTACTATAATCAACTAGAATATGCATCCATGTATCTTTCTTTATAACATCACTTGATGAAATTATAAATCCTTGGCTGTTTCCAATGTTGTAAAACATCCAAACCAACCTACCTTCCTGAACCTCTAACCTTAGTTGACTATAAAAATTTACTGCAGATATAACTGGATGTAAATCCATCAGATTTTTCAGTTTTATATACAGCGATATTGTCAAAGCAGTTAACATATGTTGACCTCTTGTTTCAATTGTAATATCTCCTTTACTCATATCAAATGAAGTTCCACATATACCAGGTTGAAAAGCATGACTATGAACAATTTGTAAATGTATAATCTCACTTCCAAAATGCTCAGTTTCATTGGAAAAAGAATGAAAATATATAGGCTTGCAGCAAACTATTAAATAAAAAAATATATAATTTTTTAACACAGTAAAATAAAATTTTCAAACAAAAATTTTACATTTACTCTGCTTAGATAATTTTTAGGCATGTATATACCAACAGATATATAAACATACATATATACAGACATACATTAACTTCTTTCTTAGATATACACCATTATATACCAATATATATTATCATATTTTTATACATTTAATTAAAGAAATAAAATCATAAAAGCAGATATTTTGTTTAAATTTCAAGTTATATCTTTCAAGTTCGATCTTTTCATCTTCAAGTTTTTGTTATTATAAACTTTTTATTTTTATTTTTATTATTGTTTTTTTATGCTGTTTTTATTATACTACTTTATCTTTTTTTTTTTTTCTTTTCTTAGTTTTTTTTAACAGACATAAGGTCAATTTTATTGAGCACAAAAAGTGCATAAAAACAACTATATTTTTTAGGATTATATACATACATTAACTATTACAGTATTCCTTTAAATGTAATTTTTTTTCCTAATGCATTTCCAAAATCTCCCATTCAATGTTATAAAGTAATGCAAAAGTAACTTTTTTTAACTATTCCAGGTCAGGTCTGGTCTAGGACCATTATGATCACCTTGCTACTGGTAACATGTAAACTAGTACTATCTGCTCCATATTGTGTTCCCTCGAAGGATTTGCTTTTCTAGGCAAAGGCTAGGAGAAATAAACAATGAATTTAAACTCCCCCCTGCTTTGAGGCTCCCCCCTGCTTTGAGGCTCCTTGTTGGATAAATTATAGGATCTGTCTCAAAAAAATTATCCATTTTGTGCAGATGCTAACTGCATACTGTTTTGTAGAAGGCCTCCTATGCAAAAACTGAATGGGTAAGCAGAGTAACTCTTTTGACCAGCCTCGGAACACTTTCTTTATCTATTATGTTGGCATAGATGTATATTATTTCCTGCCTAAAAAGATATTTGCTTGTGCTTCTTTGATAGTGGTTATGCAACTTTTTCTATTATCTCTTAATAAGGATACAGCTTTTAAAATCAGTTTAAAAGAGTCCGATTGGTAGTAAGATTTCCCTAACTCTGTGGTAACTCTTGGAAAGGCTGATTCTGTCAACAGCCGTTAAATATTGGAGCATTAACAGTGCTCATGTTATGCATGGATTGTATGACATAATAATAAATATTTACGACTATTTTTGTTGTAACTAAACTATAAGAATTATTTATTTGAATTATTTGTTTCTCTATGCAGCTGTTTGTTGAGGCTCAAGTTTCAGATTTGGGTGAGAGAGTCAACAATAAAAAAAACATCTTAAGCATGGATTGTATCTCTGTTAGTTCTTTTAGTGTACAGTGTTCAAGCCAAATAAGACCTATGTTTTGAAATTAGGATAATTAGCAAGACTGGGGCAACTTCTTACACTTAACACTATTTATATTAATCACCTTTTCTCTTTGTTCTGTACCATTCTCTTTCTTCTCAAGACTAAAGACTTTTTTAAATGCTATTTCTGATTAAACTGACCGAGCCCTTTTGGTTTATCCCTCTTTTGTCTCGTACTTCTTCAAGACTTCCTTAGTAATGGTCCATAGACTGATAATAAATATGCCTCCTACATAATCTCCTGGATCCAAGCTAAGTATAAAATCTTTTATTCCTTCTCATCGATTTTAAGTCAAGCCACAACCTGTTTGCATTTTTATTATATTAAAAAATGATTGTAAAAATGTTGTCTGATGCCAAACTCCATTACCCCAGTTTAATAAAACTTGTATCTTATCTGAATTTAGGTTTTAGAGACTTTTTTCTTCAACAGTGTCTTTAACAAAGGAAAGTTTACATTCCATCATACATTCCATCTTTAACTCATGGGTTTGATTTTATTACCTTTCGCAAAGATAAGGCAGAACTATTTGCATAATACTTTTTCTCTAATTCAACTTTTGAATTTTATGGCCATCTTCTTCTTTCCATTCCAATTAAACAAGTTAGTTCCAAACCACTCTGGCTTCCATTGCTAAAGTTATTACTCAATTAAACTCTTCTACTGCTTGCAGTCCAGACATTTTTGTTATAGCCTTACAAAAGTGTTTTCCAGAACTCTCTTTAATTTTCTCTAAACTATTCAAAAAGTGCTTGACTGAATCTTATTTACCTACGTTTTGGAAAATGGTATCTGTTCCAATTTTTAAAAACTTTTAAGAACACCCCTCTAACTTTTGTCCAGCAAGTTTCCTCTCTACTATTAGTGAGGCCTTTGAGTCTTTAAGAAACAAATTTCTAAACATTTTTTCTAAACAAATTTCTAAACAAGTCTAATAAATTACTTTCTTTCAATCGACTTTTTTATTCTACAAATGACTTCCTGTAACTGAAAGATTCTACAGCTATTCACGAAAGTTTAAACGAGAGTGTAATTTTGATCAAATTTATCTTTTTCTGCAAAAAATATTCTTTGATTAACTTAGCTGTATGAGCTGGAGCCCCGTCTTGTTGAAAAATAAATTGCTTGCTTCTACCATACAACTGTCTGATTGATGGAATTAAACACGTTTCCAATGTATTTTTGTAGGTGTACTGATTTATTCAGCCTTTGTACAGCTCACACATACCGATACCTTTGTGAGAAAAACATCCCCAAATACCAATGGAACTTCCACCGCCTTGTTGACGTGGTTGCAAAAACCGTTCTGAATATTTCTCCTTTGCAAATCTTTTGACATATAGTCTTCTCTTGCGGTTTACAACTTGAAAATTAGCCTCATCACTCCAAATAACTTTTAATCAGTCTTCAACAGTCCAGCTTAATCTTTCTTTTGACCATATTCGCCTTTTATGGTGGTCCATGATTGATAAAATAGGTTTTCTTGCTGCAATGTATGTTCCAATACCTTTTTGCAGCAATGTTTGCCTAACGAGCTCTCTGCTTACATTTTGTTTATTTTTCCACTTGTTGAAGATTTGTGCTAGCTTTTTGTAGCTGTGCCTAGGATTCTCTCTGCACCTTCTGAATATGCTACTTTTTTCACTGTCACTAAGCTTCAATGGTCTCCCGGAACGCGGCATGTCAACGACGTCCTTGGTAAGCTTCCAGGTTTTGACTGTTTTTTGTACGCAAGATTCAGAAACCCCAAGTTTTTTGCCTATTTGAACGTTGCTGTGAATTTTCGACTTTGACATACCAATAATTTTCCATTTGATCTCACTTGAAACTGGTTTTCGCCCCATTTGAACACAATTTGAAATTGTTTGAAATTTGCAATGATTTCAATTGATTTTTGTTGAATATGAAGCTGTTGAATAATGTTGTGACAATTTTTATTGACTGAAAACCACTCAATCTACTTATGTTTATGTTTTAAAACAATTTTTGCAATGGATTAATTAATTACTTAACAAATAATTTAATTTTAATAAACTCGTTTAAACTTTTATGACACCAATTAATTTTTCACATCTATCTATTAATCAAATTCCCAAGAGATCACTTATGAGTCGGAACCTACTTTTTTATTTATTTTTGATTAAAAAACCTAGTTACCGAATGGGGAAAAATTATTTTGATATCTATTTCTGTTATATTTTTATTAAAGAAAAACCAAAGATTTGTTCTTAAAATTACACCCTCGTTTAAACTTTCGTGAATAGCTGTATCAAACATTATATTATATTAAAAGCTATTGTTCTTGATAAAGTTTAGCATGCTAGTCTTCTCAATAAACATACTTCATATTGTGTATCTGGGATATTTTTGAGATTATTAAATCATTTTTTTTAATCGCAGTATAAAATCATCCTTAAAGGCCAACATTCTATTATATTTCTAGTAACACAGTTACTAGAAATATATAGTGTACCTCAAAGTTCTATCCTTGGTCTTGTATTGTATGTAATCAACATTAACAATCCATATTAATAAATCCTGACAATCTTGCATCTAAAGTGGCTCTATTTGCTGATAACTCAACTTTATACTCTTTATACAAAACTTTATACAAAAAATTTTCTCCTTTTGAATATTTTGAACAGGCAGCTGATCTTGAATCTGATGTTACTTTTGTAACAGCTTGGGGTTTACAGTGGCTTGGGAATTTTAACTCCAGCAAAACTATTGCATCAACATTCCTATAAAAATAAATGACAACCCTCTCACTCATGTTTTCTTAGATTATCATTCACTACTGACATATCATGGAAACCATATATACAAACCATTGCAACATTAGCCTAGATGCTGAGAAGTAGAGAATGGAATCAGAAGTAAGTTAATGTTAAGCACAATAAAGAAAAGTTCTGCTAAGATTACTTCTCTTTATCATTCTTAATCTCCTCCTCCTTCTTAATATTACTCCTGAGTCCATTCTTTACCTCTGCAAATTTGTCTCTACCTCTTTTATTTGTCCCTGTATGGAACGCTGTTGTCATATTTTGGCTTTTCCAATGATACACTTTTTCTTCTAAGTATAAAAATCCATTAAACTGAAGAAATAACCAAAAACTAACTTTAATGCTTCAGAACTCTTTATCCTTACTCCCTCAACTTTTCAAGTCTTCTGTTAACTTTTTCCATGCTCTTTGACATTATTTTTTGATTTCTGTTAACTTTGAACTTAGTTGTGGTTGAATGAAAACTTGTTAAGAATGAATTAGTTTATTAGTTTAACAGTATAAAACTTTTCAAAGTATATATACATATACATATATATATACTATATATATATATATATATATATATATATATATATATATATATATATATATATATATATATATATATATATATATATAATACACTTTAATAACTATGACTTTTTTAATTAATAAAATCATTTTTTTAGTAAAAGGAAATATATGGCTATATGGCTACATATGGCTAGTTTCAATGACTAATAAAGGTTGTCAAGAACAATAGGAAGCATACTTCAAATGTTGAAAAAGAACTCTAACAGCATATGTATCTTGTTGAATCTATTGAGCTACTAAAAGCAACAATATATCAGACATTTA